TGTATCCTACACATTATCAAACGCTACTCAAAAGCATGTAAGCCACAATCTTACAGTTTTTTAATTAAAGTTCTTTACACGCTCTGTCTACTGATATACGCCAATCAATATACCCGTAATCTTGTAGTAGAGGGAAACATTTTAATGTCATAGGTGCTTTTAAATTTTTTGTTTAGAATGTGAATGGGGTACCTACTTAAAGCCACAGGCACCTAGGTACTTATACTTTTATCACTTAGGGATACTTAAGGGCAATGGGAGGACTAGTTACGTCACGTCACGTTCATCACTCGTCCACCTTCTCATCTCATAATGTCATTAAACTCCCTCCACGATTAGCATATAGTTACCCCATCTCTCAAATGTTACACTAGTTAGTACTATATGTACCATAATCTCCCTCGGGCACGACAGTTTCGTGCGGTACGTCAGCAGGTGGCACCACTGAGTGTGTGCGGGTGGTGGGAGGGGGGGCTTGACAAAGACTGAGTTGAGAACCAGTTTCTCTGCTACATCTACAATCCTCAATCTCGGTCCAGTGTCCCGTTTTTCGTCCCTTTTGTTTCCGCGTTTTACGGGTTCGAGTTTGAGTGAAGTGAAAAGTGAATTTCCACCATCCTTTTAACCCTTTCCTCTCAGTGAGTTTTCTGAACCAGTTCAGCCTCTAGTGATTCCAGTGTTTTCTTTTGAGGTTATGGTTGTTGTGTTTGTGTTTGGCATTTTTTGGATATCGTTGCGGAAGGTAATTTTGTGATTGTTTGATGAGGTTAAAAGACAGATAGGTAATACAATTATAGGTTAGATTAGGAGGGTTGAATCTGTTCACTCGTTGACTTTTATAAAGTCATTGTCCAAACAAACTGGTTGTTTTGTTTACGTTTCTCTCTAAGCTAGGTGAGACGATGTTAATCTATTCTTCAATTTACCTACAATGTACCTACAATGTATCTACAAAATATCTAAGGCTTGTACAGTGTTAACAGGAGGGTTGAATATCTTCTTTTGCTATTCTTTTAGTATTGTATTGTAGGCAATGATGTATCGATCTATTGGTTTTATCAATCAGTTGTAAGTACCATGTTTGTTTTTGAAAAAGATTAAAGCATCGTTTTCATTACTTAATTATTGGTTGATTAGAGAGACTGTATGGCACCGAGGAATAGCCTATAGGTTTCTGTGATATAAACTTTATATAGCTGGGTAATGTTTTTATCACCCACCGTATCACAAAGTAGTCGCACGCAAAAAAAAATTAAATTGCCTGTTTTTTGTAAAATGGCAAGTAATAATAGGTTAATTGTCTTCTAAAAATATGCCCCCAGTTTTAAGAAATATTATTATTGTACAGTAGCTACTTTTTAATATCAATAATTTAAGGTTTTAGTATAAGCGAATAAAATACAATCGCCTATTCCTCCTATTGGCTTAGGGATAATATCGCAAAAGTTTTTAAAGAGGATTTAAAACCCTCACTCTAAATTACAGCTGAGGAACTGACGTTACTACCCTTCAAAATGTATTCACAGGGGTAGACTTTTTTACAGTAACCTCTGAACAAACAATTCAGTACCGGTACTTGCGTACCGTTTTAAATGATTAGTACTATCTGGTAGGCTACTATAGTAGATAAAAGGAGTCCTTTAATCTATGGTACTATGATATTTGATACCAACAGTTTTGCCTGACTTGTGGCACGGTTCCACAATCTGGTAATTCTCCTTGAATCAGTTAATTATAGAGGCTCGAAGGTTTCATCCTTTCTTGTATTTACAAGGTTATTGTAGAAGCTTTCCCGATCTCTGATTTATTTCTTTTTATTTGCAGATTAGTTGAGTTTGTCTGCTTGTTTTGTTGTTTGGTTGTAGGTTTATTTTATTAGTTGTTTTTGCTGTCTCTTTTCTACAGATTTTATAGTGCCTTTTAAATGTTGTTTTCAATAACTACAGTTACCGGTACTATTTTAAATTTATTATATCCAATAGTGGATGGAGCTGATTTACTAAGGTAGAAGTTTCTTTGATTTTTGTTTATTGTTACAAAGAACATGTTTTGATTTCGTTGTCTAGTAAATCAAATCATTGGTCGTTATATTATATTATACTAGCTTATATTAAAACGCAAAATAGCAGATTGTTTTGTTGTTAAACAGTGTCTTTTAGTACTCGTAATACGGGAAGTGTTAAAAAACTCCTGTACAACCAGTATTTCAATACCCGAATAGACCTACGAAAAGAGGGAGCATGAAATAAGTTAATAAATTAAAACCGTGATTAGGCTTGCGTCAACAATTTTATGCAGTTTTATGCTCAACCTACCAATACTGGATTGATCGCATTTGGATTTACTGCTTATCCTAAGCCTTGCTGTAACCCGGTATAAGATGGTTTCAAATTCACAATACCCGAAAAAAATTCTCTCAAGTGTAGTCAATTGATCAAGCGCATGCCTACTTAGATAGTAAGGTTGGTTTTCACATTCATTGAGTTGATGTAGTTTCCGGATAATTAGCCCAATTAGTGAACGACTCAAATAAACAAAAAATCATAGTATTTCCATAATACTTTGCAATGTTCTCGGACTTTCTGTACTCTATAAATATTTGTTTGCAAAAACTATAATAAAACTTAATGTTTATAATTCATTCGTTCGAGAAACATGATTTTATACCTTTTATGTGTTATGGTTTACATAAGTTGTAAATATTCCGTAATATGACTACAGTAAATCGTTTTTGTTACCATATTACACTTAGTGCAGGAATGCACTCCGTCGGCGTTTCAAAGCAGTAGTTCCTGGAACCTTCCAGCTCCAACACTAGACAGAGCCGTAGTCACACCTGCTGTAACTGACAAACAATACAACAATAAACTGTAAACCACCCTTGTGTACAGGTGTCCTGTGTACAGTCACTGCACGATACAGTCGAGTATAGTCACTGTGCTGTGAAAATAGACTGCATAAATCGGTGGTAGATTGTATGATGTGGAGACGTTTCATTGCGATTACCCTTTCTGTACTAGGACTTTGCTCCTCATACCCTTCCCTGATTACAGTCTTTACCCTTCATTCTAAGTAGGTCAATGTGTTGTGAAAATAGACCGCTGAGTATAAATCGGTGGTAGATTGTTCGTATGACGTGGAGACGTTTCATTGCGATTACCCTTTCTGTTCTAGGACTTTGCTTTTCCTAGCCTTCCCTGGTTACAGTCATTACCCTTCATTCTAAGTCATATAGTCAATGTGTTGCGAAAATAGACCGCTCAGTGGATTGTTTTGTTTCCAACCCTGTGCAGCACAAGTGTACCTGATCCTGATAGTCACATCATGACATTATGGTACTTATAGTCAATTTTGTGTGAACATTGACCGCTCAAAAACTATTAGAGTGATTATTTTTTTAAAGGTGTTATCTACTTGTTGAGGACTATTTTGAATACGGCTTACACTACTCCCAAATGTGGAACATTTTAAATCGGAACGACCCAAACCTTTAATCTGCAAAAAAACAATAACCAAATAAATAAAATATTTAAATTTTATAGACAAAAATAATAGGGGCCTTTTCTGGTAATTTATTACCGGTACCAATACATTTTAGAGCAATAGATTATTAGCAATAAAAGTGGTAGTGGATTAAACTTTTGTTAGGTTAGTATAACCATAGATAAAACATACTCCCTTAGTAGATTTCTCATCCTAATGGAACAGCTGAAAGACAATTTTATTGTTAGTTCTGTAAGGTTTATGTAGAGGTCGTGTTTTGTTTACAATTTGTTTCCCGTTAATACAGTAATTTAAAACCTCGTTTAACCAAATAATACGATGTAATCATAAACAATAAATTGTCCCCTAGTTATTTTACCAAACAGTAAAGCACAAATCAAGAAATTAACCCTAAAATAATAGAAACAAATTTCGTCGACACTAGCGCCCAGTGTGACGTACATGAACTAGACATGAAAAACGAGCTTCAAAATTTACAATGGGATGAGAAGTCTACTTGTGTTGGTTAGTCTATGGTATAACGTTTAGTATAGAGTTAGAAAACCCTAACCTTTGAACCTAACCTAAACACATTACGCTAGTTGCAGTGAATTGACGGAAAAGGTCCAATAATTGAAGCTCAATGCACCGACGTGAAATTAAACACGATTTAAAAGGCTTACGGATTTGTTAGTGTATACCCTATACCACATGATTATACATTCACCACAGACAATCGATTAGTTTAATCGTGCTCTGTCAAATGCATACAAATTAACCTTTAATTGATCCTGCAGTATAATCTACAACAGATACACATTTCAACTTGGATTAAAATGGTTGATTAAAGATAGAGATGTTTTTGTAAAATTGGTGCAAACATATTTACAGAGTGCGTACTCTACATTTCTTGTTTTTTTTTTTTTTTTGTTTTTTTTAGACAATTCTCTGAATATTGCCAATTTTGTCATTAATTATAGATGTTACACGAGCTATTAGGCTTACTTAGTATTATTCCCCATAAATAAAAGCTAGCAGAATACTTTTTTAGGGTGAGGAGGGAAAATGCTTTTACGCATACAGGTAGCCAGCCTGTCGTGTGAGGCTCCAGAATTTATCAGAGTACTCACTAAAAAAACCCCTCAACTTTGTTTTAGCCGAAGACCTACTGTAGGACTGTGTATTAGGATATAATTATTACGGATTGCCACATACGACTGATGTAAGAAAACAAAAGGTTAATTTTCGCAATTTCGACTGACAGATCAACTTTTAACAAACGTTATACAAAGTTTCAAATCTAGTAAAATTAACACCGGCAATTTAAGAGATTCCGATTCTCGCTTTCCTGGATAGTTGGACTTTTAATAAGCATTCCTGGCTAAAGAAAAGGTGTGTCTTGATCCGTATCACAGTTACACTCTGCACTCCCCCTGTATTCATATTCAGCTTAATGTACGCCTCAGACTTAAGAAGTGTAAAATCGATTATAATCCAACGAAATACCAATTGCACTAATTTCATACATACATTTATTCCTCAAAACAAATACATCGTCTGTCGAAGACTTTCAAGCACCACAACCTGCCTGTCTTTCGCCACCATCTTCGTCCTCAGAGCGCTGGGAGCTCCCCCTCTCCTCTTGGACATTCCTTGCGCCGCCAACCTCAGCTTGTTCAGGAAGTCAGGCATCACGGAAGTAGTGACCCAGTTCATCATAGACGAAGGCACATTGGAGCCCGGGTTGTCGAAGTAGGTTAGACTGAACTCCAACCCAGGTTGATCGAAGGTTGTCTTCGGCTTGATCACCATGTACGACCAGTACTCGCCCACTCTTTGTTTAGAAGGTACTTCTGGCTTTGAAGGATGCGTCGTATTCTGGTTGACCAGGAACAGTAAGTTTCTTTCCTCGTCGATTCTGTAGCGTCTCATGAAGACGTAGTCGCGGTTGCTGAACAACGTCGGCCATTTTGTCTCCCAGTAGATGACGTCACTGTTGGTGGAAGGTTCAGAGTCCAGCAGCTGCAGCTGGACCGCGTGGTTGTCCCAGGAAAGTCTGTAATCGAGATCCACCTGAGCTTCTAGGAAGTCGATGGCAGTGACGTCGTCGAAGGTCCCATACAGTTTGTAGCAGTATAACTTTTCCCCGCGATGATTCGCATCCTCTCTTCTCCACACAATGATGTTGTCTTTGTCCATGAAGCTCTGCCACTCGGAGTCGGTTGATGAGCAGACAGTACATTTGCACGAGTCTTCACTTTTCCCCAAACAAGCGTCTCTTTTGTCTTTCAGGAACATTATGAGGCTCATCTCAGCTGAGTATTTCAAGATGTCTGAGTCGGGAATTCTCTCTTTGTCCCAGTCCAAGGAGGATGCGAACACGCCGAAGATGAATTTCCTCTTGTCGAGATTCTTGAATCTGTTTATCAAAGTTTGAAAATGGTTCAAAGAGTGTTTCATTCTGTTGCACGCCAATCCCCATGATGCTATCTTAGAATTGTCTTTGAAGAAGTAAAGAGCTTTATCTCCGTTGAGTTTGTATTTTGAAAGATTGAACAATACTTGATGTAAGGGATGTCCTAGTCTTCGGATCATGTTCTGCCTCTCTTTTGTCACCTTTTAAGTGGAAATTACACTACTCTCACTTATACTTCATAGTATCACTGCACAATACTCAACACAAATATGGCATTACTAGTTCAGAATGTGCCCAATTAGGTGTTTAACCACCATCAAAATTACCTATGAATGTTATATAACCAATAAAATGTCGTGACTAAAACTGATGTAATATATAATATTAAAAATACTTAAAATTTGTCATGTTAACTTGTAATGTTGCCAAATGTATGTATGTAAATAAACACTCACCTTCGCTTTACTCTTAACAACTGTTTTATATCAAACATATGGTCGGTTCGCAGATGATTCATATTTTGTCGTTGATTATGTAAATACTGTATTAAAATGGCATTGATCACATATGTGTTCCCTTGCAACGTGTTATAACGTTTAAGATACTAAAACCTAAGCCACTCTTTAATTGTATTAATTTGTTTATACTAATTGACGTTTATTAATAGGCTTGATAATTATCCTATTATTGAAGCAGGTATCCATACAAAACCATATGTAGCTTTATAAATCAATTTAGTGACGAATTAAAATAACTGATTTTGTACGTGGGGAAAACGAGCAATCAAAACATGTGATCCTGTCAGTAAGCCACGGTGATTGGGGATATGCAACGCAGTCTGCATTAAATTCCATTATAGTTCTCGGTAACCTAACATCAAAATGGATGGTTGGTTAAAATTAAATGTTTAAATTACTATATCTGAAATTAATGTTTAAAACAGGTTCTGTTTATCACCAGAATGCATATTTTAGGTTAATTTTGGGAAACTATAGATAAAACATACTCCCTTAGTAGATTTCTCATCCTTATGGAACAAAGCCAATTTTATTGTTAGTTCTTTCCGGTGAACTGTAGAGGTCGTGTTTTGTTTACAATTTGTTTCTATTTCAGTCATTTAAAACCTTGTTTAACCAAATAAAACGATATAATCGTGAACAATAACTCATCTCTAGTTGTATAACCAAACAGTAAATCAGAAATCAGTAAATTAACCCTAAAATAAAAGAGACAGATTTCGTCGACACTAGTGATCAGTGTTACCGTAATTGAACTAAGCACGAAAAACGAGCTTCAAAATTTTAAAAGGGAGGAGATGTCTACTTGCTGTTCTATAAGGATGAGAAATCTACTAACGGAGTATATTTTATCCATGGGTTAACTATGTTAGAACTACAGTTGATTTGACACAACTCTATAACGCTGTAACTCTCGAGTTTTTATTTTCGAAAATCAATAAATAAAATAAAACACTTTTCGTCCGCGATTTGAAGTATTCACGCATCTCTTACTATGAACGGCATATAACAAGCTTTACTACACTACACAAAGTGTCCTAGAAAAGCACTAGTAATGTCATTAATGCACTTTAGGCTAATGTAGTAAAATTGTGGGTCAATCCCTTTTCACCTTTTACTGCATTTCTAAACCAATGACATTACGGATATTTGCAAAAGATTGTGGCAGTAAATCCGTCATACAAATTAATAAACATAATTCGTAAAAAAATAGATAAATTGATCTATTTTCATTCTGTAGCACAGTTTAGGTACTTTTTAACCTGAAATCTGTCTAGACTATAGAGTACAGTAGTTAAATATAGATTTTTTTAGTGATAATTTTTTAGCTCTTGTTGATATAAAGCGAGCAAAACCTATGTATAAATCAAATATAAGATACAGTATAGCACTATACGCTGACTGTTTATGTTTGAATAATTTGCGAATTCTGTGCTGTTGTAAGACAAAAGTAAGACTCCCAATTTCTCCAGTCGGCTGTTCTCGAAGCCAAGCGGAGTGATTGATTTGATTTACTCGTCTTTCACATAGCTCAGTGGGATTTGTATTTCCGACGTCTTTGGAATTCCTCTCCCTATGTATCACGCCTTTTCCTTGTAAGGAATTTATCATCTTAATTGCTTGATTATCTAGTATTTGGTCGAAGAAACATATTTATTGAGTTTGGAACTAAACAAGTAAGGTTTGTGTTTTTATTTCTAGTTGCGTTTCAAATGTCTGCAATCTAATCATTCAATGAACATTTTTTTCGAGTAATCGAGAGTTGGGGCATTATTGTGTTAAGGCATGAACTCATCTAATAGTAATATTTGTAGGTGTTGGTAACCAGGTATTGTAATACAAATGAACTCTTCCTTTTCGGTTAAATGTGGATAATTATAGGCATGTACTGTGGACGCGATACTCCCTGGCGTGGATTAACGTCCGCACGGGTGAGAACTACGACTATCCGCAGTACTATCCTGATAATTAGACCAATTCATATATATATATACCAAAGGCAAAAATGTGGTTCGGATTCCACTATAAACTGTAGGTCCCTTAGTCGCCATTAGCTGTATGGGCTAGTAATTAACAACTGTGTCTAAGGAATATGTCGGCCTTAGTCACTACAAGACTACAAGATCGCGCCACACTCATCTCCATTCATACTTGGCTTAAAATACCTACGTTGTATGGTCGCCATTTCAAAGAAAAGTATAAAGTACCAAGTGAGGTTGTTGTAGTTATTCTAGGGTTTTGAGGGTTTGTCTTGGGTTTGTCTTCTAGTAATCTTGTGTCGCCTCAGAAATATCCTGGTTGTTGTTGGTCTTTGATATTTATATATTTGTTTATTTGTTATTATCAGGTTGTTCATTATGATAGTTCAGCGTTTTAGTACCATATTGGGTGTGTTGAAGACTTTTTCCCCTTGACCTGTATATATCATATGTGTATATTTATCATATGTTATTATTTCATTCTGTTTACTTTTTCAATATATTGTTTTCCTTGCTCATGTTAACATGCAGTGCCGGACTTAGGGTACTTGCGGCCCTAGGCCAAATTACTTGAGCGGCCCTCCCCCTGTGGTGGAAATTCCTTGAGATAGCGGAAGTAATCGTGAATATCTCCTATGCATCTAGAGGACATCATTATCGACACCCGTGATCGTAGACATCTCTCCTAAACCAAGACAAATCCATCATAGGTATCCGTGACCGCGGCAAAATCGTAAAACATCCCCCGCGGGCTGCAACAAAGGGACATAATCCTCAACAGTCACAACCGCGGCGAAATCATATCCCGTGGGCTTTGACCTTGAGGACATCATCACCGTCACCCGCAACCACAGTAAAATCGTGAACATCTCCCGCGGGCCACAATCACGGGGACATCATCATCGACACTCGAGACCGTGGCCAAATCGTAGACATCTCCCGTGAAGCAGCAATCACGGGGACATCATCATCGACACTTGCGATCGCGGCAAAGTCGTGTTAAAACATCTCCGGTGTACTGCGATCATGACGACATCATAATTGTCCCCCGCGGTCGTGCCGAAATCGTAAACAACTCCCGTGAGCCGCAATCACGGGGACAACATCATCGACACTCGTGACAGCGGCTAATTCTTGGACGTCTCTCGTGGGCTGCGACCATGAGGACACATCGCCGTCACCCGCGGCCGCGGCTAAATCGTGAACGTCTCCCGTGGGCCGCAATCACGGGGACAACATCATCGACACTCGTGACAGCGGCTAATTCTTGAACGTCTCTCGCGGGTTTCGACCATGAGGACACATCGCCGTCACCACAGAAAACATACTAATATAACCTTATACTATAAGGTTATAGTAGTATGTTTTCTGTGCCGTCACCCGCGGCCGTGGCAAAATCGTGAACATCTCCCTTGGTCCGCGGAGATATCATTATGGTCACCTGTGATCGCTGCAAACTGGTGGTAAAAAAAAAATTTATCTAAAAAATGTTTTTTTCAATCCTCTGCGGCCCCCTTCTGCTTGCGGCCCTAGGCCGCGGCCTAATCGGCCTAGTGGTAAATCCGGCACTGTTAACATGGTCTTTAAAATCAAATCTTTTTACATTTCCAAATCCAACAGGACAACAGGTTATCTTTAGAATCTACGTCAACAATTTTAGTCACGATAATAATAGATACACTTTTCAATGGCTGTAGACACCACTGATGCAGAGATTTTGGTAGATGCTAGATGCATGAAGTAGCTAACATGAAGGAATCCCCAGTGCTAGACAGATCCCTGGTTTTGGTCACTGTGTGATCTACAGGACAATAAAGTGGTGAAAACTTGTGTTTACTCCTAGACACCGAGCAAGACAACGCTAGACACCCAATTTTAGACACCCTCAAACAGTGGGAGACGTGCAAGTCAATGTAAACATTCAGTGTTAACCACCGTATGGACACACAGTGCTAGACACCAATTTCTAGATTCCCAGTGCTAAACACGCAGTGCTAGACCCCCAGTGCTAGACACGAAGTGCTAGACACCCAGTGCTAGACACTCAGTGCTAGACACTCAGTGCTAGACACCAGGTTGTAGTCACTCATTGCTAGACACCCTCGGAAAGTGGATGACGTACAAGTCAATGTAAACATTCAGTGTTAAACACCGTGTGGATATCAAGTGCTAGACACCCAATGCTATACACCCAGTGCTAGACACCCAGTGCTAGACACCAAGTTGTAGTCACTCATTGTTAGACACCCTCGGACAGTGGGAGACGTGCAAGTCAATGTAAACATTCAGTGTTGAACACCGTGTGGACACCCAGTGCTAGACACCCAATGCTAGACACCCAGTGCTAGACACCAAGTGCTAGACACCAGCCGCAGCTGCAGCTGTCATGGTCCCCCATGCGGGAGCACGGAGACATTCTGTGTACCGGGATGATCTGCTACATGCCCAGACTGGATAAGTTCGGGCTCAGGCACGAAGGTAACTAATTTTATTATTTACTCTTGAGAAAAATTCACTCTACGTATATAGTAAGGTTGTAAAGTAACGCTACTAGGAAATTAATGTTGATAATTAAGAAATACCATTGAAAATCTCAATTGGTCCAATTTTAAGAAGATTGACAAGAACATAAAACATGTACAGTTAAATCAAAAGTGATAGTACTTTATATAATACATTTGCATTCTGTTCGTTTACAAATATATGAAACTGTCATTTTCCCTTGAAAATTGAAATACGTAGGGTGTATAAAATTGGCAAAGTACATTTTTGTAATTTACAAAACAATGAATGTTGGTTCTCATAGTTTTGCTTAATTTATTATACTTGAAGGTTTCAGGGTATTTTCTAAGGGTTTAAAGTAGTTTTGTTGATAGATTTGTATCCATTAATCTTTATTTTAGTATAAAATCCAATCATGCCAGCATTCCAGTTAATTCTACACCCATCATTCAGTCATCTCGATTACAATACGCTCAGGAGCATGCTCATAATAATTGGTAATGCAATAAGGCTTTATAGTTTCTGATATATGATAGTTGTGGTAGTCATGACTGATAGTCACAAAGTTTAGCGGTGTTAGTGATGGTATAGTAAACTAATTCTCTGCTGAAAGTTGCCAATCTGTTGAGCTTGTCAGTGGTCAAAACTATTTATGTTCATTACATCACTATGAAGACTAATGAGGTTTAAACTTTGTCTGTGCTTTTACCTTTTAGTACATTAGTTTGGATTTAAGTTTCTCTGTATCACCACTTCATTGTAGGACGCACAAACTACATAACTCTCTACGAGATGTTAAGCCGCTTTAAGGCTCCAATACATGGACGGCTCTCACAAGGGAATAGTAATCCAGGGACTCCAGATAATTCCCTGTTATTCCCGGTCCAGGTTACTTACTACTTAGTGTTCCTGACGGGGAGTCCTCCGGGAGTTTTGTTGAGACCCAATTTAGTCTAAAGTGAAACTTTCTGTTGAGTAAATATTTAGCAATAAAGGAAAATGAAAAAAAAATAATTACATTTAAAATTTATTCAGCAGAAAAGTACACAAAACAGACGAGATTGTCAGGTTTGCATAATACAAATAGGTAAATATTATTTAACGTTTACTAATGTATACTTTATGCAGTTTTAAATAACGTGATGTAAACTATAAGGTGATAAATCTTAAAATTAGCAGATGAAAAAATGAGATTTAGCCGTGTTAAAAATATTGAATTCACAAAAACGGTCTCACAAAAACCGCATTATTTGCAATAGGCTAGTTTCTTAAATAATTACAACTTTTTTGTGTGCTCACCCTCTCCTTAATTTTTGACCAATTTTTATTATTAAAGTGTCAAATTGCTGGAAAATTTGTCAATATTTCAAGAATATCGGTTATATTGACATTAGGTGGATAGGTTTTGCCACGTTTAGCATTTATTATACATACAAATTTACATGTATTCCTTATGGAAGGATTATTTGAATAAGTTATTTATTATATCTTGTAAATGGTTGAACGGAAATAGTTACACCATATACTTTTCTTGTAGGAAATTTAATCTTCTTTAATTTCCTAATTTAGTATAGTATACAAAAAGTTGATAGTTTTCGAGATATTTAGGAAAAACCTAAAAATGGTACCTAACAGCGGCCATTTTGGACGCCATCTTGGATTGGAAAAAATGACACCCTAATTTTTTTTTGAGATTACTATATCTTCTTTCCAATTATATTAAGTTTTTGCCTTTAACAAAAAAAAACACGAATCTTTATTTTATTACAAATGAGGCTGCACTATTACTTCAGGCTAAACCTAGGGGTTGCGGCATTATCACTTGGACAAAATCCATTGGGGATTTGGCGGGATTTGAACCCGGGACCTCACGGACCGAAGTCCCGCGCTCTAACCACTAAACCAGCTCGTTCCCCCACCTTGTGTAGTAGTGTTTACCAGTGTTTCCAGACCACAATTGCATTGGACGATTACACACTTGGTAGGCCGCGGTTTCAGTGAAACTCGTCTTTTATGAAAATTGCCAATCTCGAATCCCTGGGAAGGACACTTTCTCTAACACCTCGGGCCAAAATTAATTTCACGTATGAAAAACTTTCATTTTCTTTCAGTTTTTGGTAAGTAATTTTCCTGTTAAATTACTACTAGTTCGGTATAGTATATTTCGTACCTCGGGCCGGAAATTAGGTTTTGCCGGCTCGAGACAGTTTTTAAGTTCGAGACGATGTCGAGAACTTAAAACGATCGAGAGCTGCATAACCATTTCGTACAACGATATTATAATATTGTTCTATTATAGATACTAAGAATAAGTAATAATTTTTTATTGGTATAATTTTCAAAAAAAAAACAAACTAAAAATTCAATTTTGTAAGACACTCTAAAAGCTATCGTGAAGAGTTTATGTTGTTTACCAACTACAACAACAAAAATAATCTAATGTAATTCAAGGTCTTGAAATTTTTATCAAAATACAAAATGTATTTTGTTTTCATGGTTTGGATTGTTTTATGTACATAATTTTTCCCTACTAGATTGCTATAAACAAGTTAAGTAATTCTATAATTTTATAATTTTTTCTCCCTAAAATGTATGCAAAACATAATATCCCTAACCTCTAAGAGAGAATATTTCAGTGGCAAACAACAATGGCTGTCAATTCCCACGGAATAATTACGCTTTGAGAGAATTTCCCGGGAATAATTAACTGGTTCGGTGTTCTTGAAAATAACAACGGACAAGATTCAAGGGGTGGAGGAAAATTGACTTGTAAATATAATAGGGTCAATATAGGCAAGGTCAGCTAGTGATTCTACACAATGATGTCTTAGTCAGCTGATCGTGGGTGTTTATTGTTGATAGCGTTTGATTGTCCCATATGTTTTCTACCTGACAAAGCGGGATTCCTTGCACTTATTATAGTGCAGAAAGTTGCTAATTGCTGCATTTACTTACTTTTGCAGCACGCTTTTTTTGCCGCAGTATTCCAACCAAACAACACAAAACAGCGTGCTTTTATTAGGCACGAAATACGTGTACGCTTAAAAATAAGTTGGCAGCACTTAAAGAACATATGACTACGATCAGCTGGTACAGCGTTTCCCATTTCGTTCAATGTTTGAATTTTTTAACCTAATGTGCTGTGTACTGTTTGAAAGACTAATTATTTATATGCTTTATAGTTACTGTAGAAAAATATAATATGCAACAAGAGTGCAAACCAATTACACAAATAACTATTTTACAAAAGGTAGAAAGGGAGTCAACTCAGTAAAAACGTGTGTTCCAAGTTCATTCCACACATTTTTCTTAGTCTTAAAGCTATTCTTATGGAAATGTATTGTCTAATCTGATTTTCAAATGTTATCATCCTAGTGTCAAAACAAATTATAAATTTGATGTGTGAATCCTTCCCATTTGCGAACCCATTAATAGTGTAGAAAGATCATACTGTATTCAAAGATTTTAGATCATATCAAAGACTTTATATTAAAATTTTTTAAGGATGCACATGCAGTCAACGCTGATTCACCTTCTGTTAAAAGAAATCGTGCAAATGTCTTATGAGTCCATTAACTAAAGACAAAACTTACTTTTATCAAAAACTATTTATGCTGCTCACGAAGTTTCGTTTTACTGGATTAACTTTTAATGCGACTTTCATCTTTTTAAATAAATCTAATAGGAATTTTAATCCATCTACTAGCTGTTGGCCCGTCAGGAATCAAGTAGTCGATTAACAAAAAATTATAATTCAGAAGAGCTATGGTTCTAAAAAAATATATTTTTAATCAACAGAAAGTATTGTTATTGTCTACTATATTATTAAAGTAAAATAATCAAACTTTTTTTATAATTGCTAAAGGCCATTAATTTAATGAAAATATAGGAATATGGTACGTATAAATGAAGCTTAGCTTGTGTAAATTTGCCTCAAATTATTGATATCAACGGACAGGCCGGTTTAGCTCTGCCTTACATAGGGAGGTAATGTTAAGTTTATTAAATTAATTAACTATACATAAATAATACATACATTAATAATTATACATTAAATTAATTAAATGCTAAAACATAATCTCTAATCTCATATATAACTGTTCGGGTCTCCCTTACAGATGTAATAAGTAAGTAAGATATTACGAACTACTAGGTACTAGGTACTCTTGGTATGTCTTCTCCGTTAATTCTCAGAATTTAATTAATACTTAATTTTACTTAAGTTGTATTAGTTAGGCCTACGATTAATTTTTCTATATATTATCTCCACCATTAGGTATTGTTATTAAAAAATATATTTTTATTTATTGGTAAACGAATGCAAACAAATCTATACTAAAGATGAAATAATAAACTTCAACAAGTTCCAAGAGTTCATCTCAAACGACTTCACTGAAGTATTTTGAAACACTAAAATTAACTTTGAATCAGCTCTAAAGATTAATTAAGGGCGATAATTGATAAAAGTACTCAAGTGAAAACCTAATAAGGATTCATGAATTTGAATTCTTCGGGGAAGCGGAAAATAAGCTTGACAGGTCTGCCAACATCACAGCTCCAGGGAGTAAATTTCCCTCATTTCCCGGTCCGTGCACAACCTTGAAGCTTTTCTGATTACAAAATGTCATCCGTTATGCTCGCTGATTGAAATTTATGTTGGTTAAGAATTATTTAGATGTCATGTTTTCTGTGTACTTTAATTGAATTTTTAGTATTTTTAATAATTTTGAATATTTTGTTAAAGAATGGGGGTTGACTCTTTTACAATAGAGTAAATAAACTACATTTTGAATTTCTCTATTTTTAAATGTTAGGCTATTTTTTATTGTACAATATTATTTTTTATTGTACAATATTAATTTTCTACTGTACAATATTATTTTTACACTATTGGAAGTTTTAGCGAATTTCCCTATAGGGAAGTAGCTATTACCGTAGGTCTCATGGTAAGACCTAAGCCCGGGACCGATTTACTT